AACCAGACTTGCTTACAGAGGTCTCTGACAATGCATAGTGATCAGGGCCATGGTATGATGTAAGATCACCTGAGTCAGAGTCCCAAGTCCTCTGCTTTGCTGATGACGCTAAGCAATTGCTTTACTTCTCTGGGCTTGGATGTTTTAATCACTGTAAAATAAGAATAATAGTACCACCATGGGGCTATTGTGAGGACTGCAAAGATCTCCCCGCAAGAACTTACTTGTAACAGTTGTCCAATACATTGTTGCTATTATTATGTTATTTCCAGAGTATGAGGCTGTGTACAGGGGTCTGCAAGGCAGGGAGGGGTCCTGTGCAAAATTTATGATTCCTGCCTCCCCAATTTATATCTTAACTCTTCCTGCCCATTCTGCAGGTGTCCAAAATGGCCTTTCACCGGCCCCAAACTTCTGGGCAGTCTTTGTTGCCTCCTGCCATTTACCGGGGGGCAACTTGGAGCCAAGGAGTCTGCACTCCCGCTGAGGTGGGTATAGTCCCCATTTTACTCACACTGCAAGTTGAGGTTTGGGGCAGTCAGGAGAAGTCCCGTAGAAGACAAGCCTGTCTGCCCCCTCCCACCCCCGGGGCTGGGCTAGAGTACCCAGGCCCTGAGCTCCACTGTTTGTCCAGTAGGGGCAAGAATGCAATGGGGAGAGCTCAGACCAAAGGGGGTGGCTCCAAATCTGTCCTTCCCTTTGAAAGAAAGGTGTGTCTGCTCTGTCTTTCCCCATTTGGGACCTTCTACCCAACTCAGTCCTACATGCCTGATCTCCAGAGGTCCAGCCCCTAACTGCAGGGACTGGGCAGTTACCCTCCAGTGCTGGAACATGCTCCCCTGCTATTTATTCATTCATTCATTCATTTGTTCGTTCGTTCGTTTATTCACTCCTTCAGCCATTCATTCAATAGATATTACTGAGAGGTACTATGTGCCAGGCACTGTACTTCCTACTGGGGAGACGGTAGCCATGAACTCACATTCTAGTAGGAATACAGACAATAAACCAAGCAGGTCAACAAACGTGGAAATAATGTCAGATCAGCATAGATACTATGGAAAAAAACAAACAGGCAGATGGCACTGAGCAGTATCTAGGGTGGGGAAGGAAGGTCTCCCAGAGGAGGTGGTGACACTGAGCACTTGGCCTTGACAAAGAAAGGCTTTTTCTTCAGGACTTTCCCTTCCCCAGCGGTGTGGGGAGCCCTCAAAAGGGGGAAGCTGTTTCCAGCCCTCAGAGGAGGAGTTGCGACAGGGAGAAGAAGGAGGACAGTCCTGATGTGGATGCGGGGGAGGAGGTGCAGGACCTAACGCAGAGGGCCCTGCCGACCCCCACTGTTCCTGGTGGCAGTGAAGTAACAGGAAGTACAGAGATGGCCAAACCGGGGGAGTCAAGAACAGGAGGACCTTCAAGGCCAACAGCAAGTCAGAGGGAGACTTTAGCTGCAGGAGAAATACCCCACCTGGAAAGCAGAGGCTGGGGCCAAAACCTGGCTTCAGTGCCCTCGGAGTTGCCAGATGGCTGGTAACCTTCATTGGGGGAGTGCGTGGGAGTGGCTTGGCTTTCAGCAAGGGATGGAGGGATGGGTGGGCTGACGGGTGAACAAATGACTGGCACACAGACAGAAATAACCCACTACGCTTATTAGTGTTCTCTCCTGAAAGGTGTGTTTTGGGGGAAGGCACTTGGGAGAGGGTGTCAGTGACGGTTTTCATGAGGCAAACAACATGCCCAGCATGTTCTCACCTGGGTCACAGGCAAACCCACAGCCAGGTTCGTACTTCCTCACTCGCAAGCAAGTGCCCAATCTTTCTGAGTCCATCCATAAGATACAGCACAGAAAGGTAGAATTCTGGTTCTCATGATGGTTCCAAGGACGCAGGACGTCAATGCACCAGAGGGATTCCGGTTGAAGGCATCAAGTGCCGTACCCGCTTGGGTCTGAAATTCCCCCAGGTAGCTGGGGAAAAGGCTGAATAATGAGGAACTAATGAAACAGGTAATAAAAGCCAGGGTGGGTAGGTGGTGAGAGGCAGGGCTTAAAGAAAGCTTCCTGCAACTGGGCAGGTTTTTTGCATTGAGAGCTTGCCGCAGCACAGAGGTTACTGGAGAAGATCATGTCATTGCAACTGCACTGTCTTGCCCCCATGCATTTCGATGCTCAGGGTCTTCCCCTCATGTCTAGGCCTGGAATCGGAGGGGTGGGGAAGTGGAGGGTTTGCTGCCACCGCACAGGGGCTTGTGGGCAGCTTCTGGGTGCATGGAACGGAGAGCCTGCTCGCTTGGCACTCCTTGGCAAAAATTCGCCCCTAAGCCTCTGGACCACACACTGTTTTCATTCATTCATTCAACACACATTTTATGAGGACCTATGATGTGTCAAGTCCCGTAGTGAACAAAACAGGCCTGGTCCCTGTTCTGAGAGAACTCGTTATTCTTGGGCAGCCCCAGAGAGGTTGGCAGGCTCTTAATTTTGTCGCTTAATTCCTGAAGAGGGGGAGGGATAAAGGAAGCCCAAAACCCTGGAACTAGTATGGCAAGAGGCAGTGGATAGAAACCTGGGTCCAACAGCTCTGGCTTTAATATTTTTTTCACGAATATTTGTGGGGCACCAAGCTTGGCAGCCACCGCCCTCTAGGAACCTCTGACTAGTGAGGTCAAGATTCACACAGACATGGGCAACCAAGACGAAACAACGGGGTCCGAAATAGAGACTCAGCAAAAGGGACCACCATATCCCACTGGGAGATATGGGAAGGCTTTCGGGAGGAAGGGACCCTAGCTGGACCCCAAATCATTTACAAGACAAAAGCGCAGGAATGAGATTGGAGAATTCCAGGTAAAGGAAACTGCTAGGCTACTGCGCACGGGCAGAACTTGGCAGGTTCTGAGAACTGAAAGAAGTTGGCTAGATTGGAGCATTTGGGATGATGGAGGCTCATCCACTTTTTCCTATCTGAGGTTGGGAAATGCGATGGTTTCTTTGAGTTTCAATCTACCCATCTGCAAAATGGGTAAGACAAGGTGAGTGATGTCACATTGTTGGGGGGGTTGCAGGGGGAATGACCTGTGGATGGCTCCTGGCACAATTGGTGCTCAATAAATATAAGATGACTTATATCTGCGTGGCTTATGTCTGCGGGCCAGAGAGGCGCGGGTCCCATGGGCCGCGGGGGAGGGGTTCAGACCTGCGCACCCTTGGCCTAGGTTTTCGGAATATCTTTATTAACGAGCACTTCAAGGTAAGCCGCGATGGAAACCAGATGTGGGATCGAGCAGTCGGCGGCAGAGCAAGGAGCAGAGATACCAAGGGAGTGGGGTGGGGGTGAGGATTAGCCCAGCTGAGGTTGGGGGTAGAAGCACGACCCCCCAGGTATTTTTTCTTTGGGAGACCTTAGGTGCAGAAGATTGATTTCTGACCCACATCCCTGGGTTTGTTGGCGCTCAGGCGCTCTCTCCTTATACTTTGCCCCTTCACCTCTCATCCCATCCCCCGCCTCCTTTGAGGTAAATCCTCAATCCACGGACTTTCCCTGCAGTTTATCAAAAGCTGTTCTAAGTGGTCTCCTTCCAACTGAGTCATTCCCCAGTGGGAGACCCATTTCCTCTGCTTTTTGCGTTTTCGCTGTCCCCAGTGCCATCCCAGGACCATGGAGGGACTAGCCCCAGCATGGGTTCCAAGGCGGGCTCCCGCCAGGTGACCGCACCTCTCTGAGCCTCGGTTTGTTCATCTAAAATTGGGGACCCCAACCTCCACCCTTCACAGTTGTTGTGAGGCAGTGCAATCGATGACCAACCCTGGGGAAAAGGCTGGACGCACCCTAAAAGCTCTTCTCCCTTGCTGTGGCTGGTCCCAGTGCCCCGAGGCGCGCGCTGCTGAGGGAAACCACAACCCATCAAATCCAAGCCATCGGTTTTACAGTCGGAGACAGTGAGTCTGGAGAGAGAAAAGGCTTCCTCACCCTTACCCCAAGCCGTGAGCAGGTGACAGCAAGACGACAGGGCACAGCCAGCAGGTCTCCAAACTCCTCGCTCTCAACCCCGTGGACCGAAAATCCCCTGGGCTGGGTGCAGATGGGAGGAGAGCTCTGTCCCAGGAGGGGACGGAGGGGACCGAGCTCTAAAGCTTCCAGAACGTGGTCCATAAGGGCTTCTCTGGTGTTTGAGCGCACACAGGCCCCTCGACACCCTGCCCCAGCACCCATGTAGGGGAGGGAAATAGTTAATTAGACGGGAAAGTGGCCGAGCACAGGACTACTGCCTTGGGTGTGTGCTAAGTTCGTAGAGGGACCGAGAATGGGGAAGAGGGGTTGGAAGCAGAGAAAGAGGCACTGGTAGGAAGGCCCAAAGCTGTGCCGACAAATTCGAAGGTCATTGTCCCAAGGACTGCACTAGGAGGCTAGCGACCCTTCTGACTCTGAAAGTGAAAACCTGTTACGTGTTTTTTGTTTCTTTTCTTTTCTTTTCTCTTTTCTCTTCTTTTTTTCTTTCTTCTAATCTGTCCCTAAAGTTCTGCCTGCCCCCCACCCCTGGGCCAAAGCTTGGACCCGCCATTCTCAGCCTAGTTTTGGGAGTTTTAGGGCCCGGGTCACCTCTCCCACCCGGCCTAGAATCGGAAAGGCCCTCGGGCGCCTCCGGGTTTAATCCCCAGCGAGCAAGTTAGTAGCATCTCTGTGTTTGGGGAGTAGGGAGAGAGGTGGGGGTGGGGCGGAAGGAAGAAGGAGAGAAGGAAGGAGAGAGGGGAAAAAATTCACTCTCCCTCTTTTTTTCACCCCCATTTCAAAATCTTAAGAGGCTTTGGGAGATCTGGTCAACTTTCCGAAACATCTGAATCTTTTTACAGCCCTCCGTTCTTTCCCTGGGCCAGCTGCGGGGAGGGAGAAGGAAGAGAGAGGAGGAGGAGGGAGGAGAGAGAGACAGAGAGACAGAGAGAGAGAGAGACGAGAGGACAGAGAGAGAGAGAGAGCGAGAGAGACGTGGAGGGAGGAGGGAGAGCGAGCAGGCCCGCGCGGAGCGCAAGGCCACCGCCTCCTCGCCTCCCCAAACTCCCGGGCAGGGCGCGCGGTGGCGTCCTCGCGCTCTCGCTCGCGCCCCCGCCCTTCGCCCGCGCAGGCCAGGCATGAATGCTGAGACTTGCGTCTCTTACTGCGAGTCGCCGGCTGCTGCCATGGACGCCTACTACAGCCCGGTGTCGCAGGGCCGGGAGGGCTCCTCGCCTTTCAGGGCATACCCCGGCGGCGAGAAGTTCGGCACAACTTTCCTCTCGGCCGCCGCCAAAGGGCAGGGATTCGGAGACGCCAAGAGCCGGGCCCGCTACGGCGCGGGGCAGCAGGACCTGGCGGCACCCCTGGAGAGCGGCGCCGGGGCGCGGGGCTCCTTTACCAAGTTCCAGCCGCAGCCGCAGCCGCAGCCGCCGGCCCCGCAGCCGCCGCCGCCGCCGCCGACCGCGCAACCCCCGCATCTCTACTTGCAGCGCGGCGCTTGCAAGACTCCCCCGGACGGCAGCCTCAAACTCCAGGAAGGCAGTGGCGGCCACAACGCGGCCTTGCAGGTCCCCTGCTACGGTGAGTGCACGTGCGGGGCGATCGGGGGCCGGGGCTCCGCGGGTCGGGGAGGCGCGGGGCCGCGCCGCGGGTGGCTCTGGGTCGGAAAACAGGAACCGACGGTTCCGAGGGGACCGTGGGATCCGTCCGGCCCCCTTCATCTCCCCACGCCGAGGGCTCGGAGCTGTTGTGGCTGTTGAACCCGCCCTGGGGTTTGTTTTCTCCGCGTCCTCGCCGGTTCTGCCAACCACTCGCTTTGCGCGGCTCGCGGGGCCGCCTCCGAAGCGGTTGCTTCGCCCGGCTCGGGGCGTGCGGCGGCGAAGTGTGGCGGCGCGGCGCTCGGGCGCGGGGCTCCGGGGCTGCCGAGGCCTCGCTCCCCGCAGGCCTGGAGGCTCCCCGGGCGGTGCTGCAGGTGGGAGCATCGCAGGTGCCGAGCCCGCTGGCAGCCCGGAGCGCAGTCAGGCTGAGCGCGCCCGGGGTGCCGCGGGTCGGGGACGCCGCACGGGTGCGGGGCCGCAGACGCCTGGAGCCGCCGAGGACCCGAGTTCGCCCCCTACACCTACCCCCGACACACACACACACACAAGCCCGGCTCTCGGGGGAGAGGCAGGCCGGCTGGCGTTCGGAGCGATCCTCGCCCGGCGAACCTGGGAGGAGGCTGGCCTCGGAACAATGGTTTAGGACGGACCGGCAAGAAGGCAGGGAGCGGCAGAGTTCCAGGCAGCGCAATGCTGGGGGAAGAGGGAAGCTTCTGGGTCCCGATTTGGGCCCACAGGGAAACCCGAGGCCTAAATGACCTCCAAGCCCCCTTGAGCTCCCAGGCAGGACACAGGCCTGGCCCCCCAGAGCTTAGCAACCGTGATGGAGGAAAGGGCAGCCTGAGGCCAGAACAGCTCAGGAACCTAGGCCTTCTCGCCCGCTGATTCGGGATTGACAAGCCCCAAGCTGGCAAAGAGAGAAACCCAGAAGGGAGGGAAAAATCTTCCTGGGCTAGGAGCCCTGGATACACACTCTCCCTGAGGCCTTGGCCTTCAGGCAGGGCCCTGGAGGTGAGCTGGTCCTGACACACCAACGGCTTTGGCTGCACTGGCCCATGCTGCACGGAGAGACACCAAGACTGGGGACAGACATGGGACATGGTGGAGGCCTTGGTGGCTAGAATAGCCTTAGGAAAACAGCCCATGGCAGACACTTTCTTATATTCAAACTAGCTTACCAGAGGCTCACAACTAGTTCATTAGGTGGTTGTTGATGCAAACATTTGCACAGTCATACACTTGACTACACACACAACCTCTTCCTCATGAGCCAACAGAGTCACACACTAAATACACTCAGTCATGTGGCCTCACACATAGTCACAGGTTCCCAAACCCACAGGACAGGACTGAGAGCAGATTTAGAAAGATCCAGTGGCCTTTCCCCACTTCCTCCACCTTTCCTCTCCACCTTCCTGTTGGAATGAGATCAGGCACTCAGATCACAGACATTCAGGGCTCCACACAGGTGCTCCTTCCCCACTCGGGCAGGCAGGGCTTGTCAGCTCCTGTCAGCAGGCACCCGCCTGCCAGGGCTGCAGACTCACACTCCCTCCTCCTGGCCTTACCCAGGCCCCTCCTGGCCCCTGTCGCCAGGACTGTTAGGTGAGAGCAAGTCTCAGACTGAGGGACGTGTGGAGGTCCATTGTGCAAAGCCAGGAGCCTCAAAGGCTTTCTCTCCCACTATACTGGATTTTCATGTTTTAAAGAAATCCACTAGTGAGGCTTCTGCAGAGGAAGAGACATTACATAAGAAAAGGTGCCAAGCTGCTTCCAACCTCTTGTTTGGCAGATGTCTTCAGGTCCAGGGAGAGAGAGGAAAGGGCTGGTCCCCTCTGGGCACCCTCTCAGAGCGCTGCTGGGCCCCCACACACCGGCCTGGCCCTTCCTCTAACTTGCATTAGCCGACTCCTTGAAAGCCCTTTTCCTCATAGAGGTAACTGCATCAGTGGGTGGTAAGTGCCCCCCACACACACACACACCAAGAAAGCAAAAGTCTAGTCTCCTCCAGGATTCCACCAAAAGCCTCTGTGCTATTGGGAACCTGTAGACACTCAATTCTGAGGACCGGGCAGGCCCCTGCCCCTGCTCTGGGCAAAGCCCTAAGCTGCAGATTGGGACAAAAGGAGGCCCAGAATCAGCCACAGGACCACCACTCCCCTGCTGCCTGAGATGGAGGCACTGCTCAGGGCAAAGCCACAAACAACAAACAGCTCTGTTTATTCTTCTCCTAGCAGCTGAGCTTCCCTGGCCAGGAGGAGATTTCTGGCCCTTGCGGAAAGATTAGGCACATGAAGTCCAAGATGAGAAACCAAGGCACCAAGAGGTCAGGCTGTGCCCTTTACAGAGGCAGCTGGGAGGAGGGCCTCTGGAGTTGGCTCTGTAGGCGGCCAGCAAGCAGGGAAACTGAGGCACACACTGGTGGCAGTTCTCTCCCACACTTGGAGAATGTGGACTCAAGAGGCCGGTAAATGGGGTTCAAAGAAAAAGCCGGCCCCGGGCGATCTGACTGCAGGTAGCTTGGACCTTGCAAACCTCCCTCCCGGCTCTTTTGGTCCCGGGGCTGGAAGCTCCGTTCTGGATCGGCGGAAGGGCACCGAATGGGGGGCGAGGCTCCGGAGACCTCCTCCGGGACCTCAGCCCGGGGAGCCACTCCCGGCGCGTCCAAGCGCCCCAGGGCCAGCGAAGCCCCGGCCTGGGGGTGCTGCGCCAGGGCCACGCTGAGCGGGCGCGCAGCTGGGAAGCCGCCTGCAGTCCCCGCGGGCCCGGCCTTCTCCTTCCCGGAGCTGCCGAAAGTGGAGGTGAGCAATCCTCTCAGTCCGCAGGCGTCCCTACCCCTTCCTGGGCCTCCGTTTCGCCCTCAGTACTAAAAGCTCGGCGAGCAAGCCGACTGGGCAGTCCCCTCCGGGTGCAGGAGATGATGGTGAGTTTGGGAACGTGCCCCACGGTTCGCGTGTGCTGCCGTCACCGTATCGCCGGGCTCCCGGGGCGCACCTCGGCCTTGCGAAGTCCTTGCTGGTTCCTGGCCCGTCCTTGGGCCCATGGGCCCCAGCGGACACGCCAGCTTGGAGACCCGACGTTTCTCCGCCGCACAAAGAGCCTCCTCGTCGCCAGAGTGAGGTCTCCCGCGCCTCGCCCCCCACCCCGAGCCCCCGGCAGCCGCCCCGAGCCACCCCCGCGGCCGCCGCTGCCCCAGGCCTCGGCCATGCGCCCCGGGAAGCTTCGGGGAGCAGCTCTGCTCCCTCCTCTTTCGCTTTCGATTCGGTGCGCGCAGATTTTCGTTGCTAGCCGCTGGCTACCTTGCCATCCACGCGCCCCCCCTCACCCCCCCAGAGAGAAGCTCTCACAGCTCAGAGGTCGCGAGACGCGGGCCAGGCCGGAGACCCCTGGGGCGCCGCCGAGGGGCTGGTCCTGATTTGTCGAATTAGATGCAGTGTTTGAACGCTAAGGGTATTTATTTCCCCCGCACCGACACCATCCACACACCACCAAACGTGTAAACCCTGCCTGGGTCCTATTCGAAGTTAGTCAAAGAAGCGGCGTGTGGTTTTGCGTAAAAGAAGCCCAAAATAAGACCTCAAGAAACGGACAGGAGAGAAGAAACAGTTAAGAGCCCCAGGGTGATTGTAGGATGATCGAGAGAACACTCCAGCCTGGGAGCTGTGCCCTTGCCGACCTGGGTCACTTTTGGAGGAGGGGGCAGAGAAGGAAAATGCTTTTAATGTTGTACTTTGTTAATTTCTATAGCCCTCAGCATGCTGGAACAGTCGGCCTAAACACAGATGACCTTAAATAGAAAAACAGAAGGCCCGGATTAAAGGTTTAGTATTTTAAATCAATCGATTTGCAGTTATTTTTTTATTGTAAGTTCTGTACAGTGCAGTACACAGCTAAGTGGAAAGTTCGAAGAACTGTTCTGTAAACTACCACGGGGACCAGGATACAGACGTGTATATATACCCGGAAATTTGGGGGGAATTTTTTTTTTTTTGGTGAGTTGTTTTAAAGAAAAATTCAGAAGAGACTTCGGAGAGCCGGAGACCCCACCCCCACCCCCGTTTGCGACGGTGGTGTTTCTTGAGTAGGGTGACCTCGTACGCCTGGACATTTGCACCACCCGGACCGGAAAACGAGGTTACTTACCCGCTGCACCAGAAACCTCGATGCAGCGGCCGGGCTGTCCCGGTCCAGACTCCCCGAAGCCCCGGGCTGAGCAGGCTGCAAAACGGAGCGGAGGTAGGAAAACAAGTTAAAATACCATGCATAACATTTCCCGAAGTCCCTAAGGACTTTCGTTTTGGAGAGCAGCGGGGCACACTTTTCCGGGGATGTACCTTCATCTGGGTCTCAGCCGCTTTCCTCCTGCAGCTCTGCGCGCGCGGCTTTGTTTTGATGGAAAATTGGAATACAAAGTGGAAATATGGTGGCCTTCGCAGCGGTGGGGGTGAGGGGAGGTTGGAGTCCCGCGTGCTCAGTCTGGGTTCGGGCTTCTCCGCTGACCGGGGTACCCGAAGCAGCAGGCGGGGGAAAACTGCCCGGAGCGCCCTAGGCTCCGAGGCCAGGGGTCCGGGAATGGGGAAGCCACCGGGCTTGGTGGTGCTTGGTTTTGCTGCAAGGAAACGGGAGTAGGGAAGAGGGGCTGCGACAGAGTGCTTAGCTCCCTGCCCCAACGAAGCCCGCTGCCCAGACACCTCACCCCACCCCCGCCCCACCTAGGCCCAGGCACTGTTTTGGGTGGGGCGGTGGGAGCCCAGTTGTGCCTCTGGACACCGCCTGCCAGGCGCCATCTGGCCACATGCTCCCCAAGCTATGGGGTTCCTGGGCGTCGATAGAGTGACAAGGCGGGTCATCAGAGTAGGAAACCAAGACAGCTCCGTGCTGATACTGCTCAGTGAATTCAGAGTTTAAGACACTGGGGCCCCTTGCTCAGGGGCCCTGGGCACCACACGCCTTTGTTGGGTCTGGATTAGACTAGCGAGAAGC